TGATGCAACAACCCATTCAGGTAAAAAGTGTGGTTACTTCTAGTTAAACTTGAAATTATGAAATAGGTACACGGAATGTAAGAATACTAAACAAATCGGGAGCACAGCAGTCCTTACCGGATGAAATAAAAAAGTATGAGTTGAGAATATCAACAATACAATAGCAAACTCAATGGCTGAGGGATAGAATCAGACATACTAACACTTCTCCTGTTCTGTACAATGGGAAGAAAACAAGCCTGAAGGAATTGAAAATGCAAACTGAAAATCAAGGTTCGTTTCTTCAACATAACAACTATTCATGTACTTACGCTGTCCGATGGAAGAACAGGAGTCTGGAATAAAAGAGACCTTTTACAAACAACTTTAAAAATGTATACGATTCATCCCAAAAAATGACATCAAGATAATAATCCCGGACAGGAACGCGAAGATCGAAAAGGAGCAGGAATTTATGGGAATAACTGGCAGGCGTACTGTACACAAGATAACTAATGAAAATAGTGAATTTTTCATTAATTTTGCAGCGGCCAAAAATAAGGTAATAAGTTCAACATGTTTCCCTATCGAGATATGCACAAGGTCACGTGGAGGTCAAGAGATGAAAATACCCATTCTCAAATAGACCATCTGGTAACAGGCAAAAGAACACCGACTCTGATAATATGCAGAATTAACAGCAAAATACAACAGAAGACCCACACGCAGGTCAAGCTGAGGGCAGCAGTTATATTGGATAAGAATTCGTATGAAAATTTAGTCATACAAATTCTTGTAAAACATTTCTTGTGACTTCGTACGTTTAAAGTGGTTAATTGCGAATGTTCAGTTTATAATTTTTCTCGTTGCAAGTGGGGTCGACTTACTGAATGTGAATATCTATCGGATAATCCTGCCATAAAGTTTGTTTAGTTAGAGAATTGGAACACACACATATGGGTCCATAAATACTTCGGGGTTATATATATGTGGGTTTAAAGGGGTTACTCCCCGTCTCTTCTCCACTAAGCCTGAAGAGGCGAACCCTGGAAACCTAAGCAACTCTGCTAGAGATGCGGCAGCCAACCCGTATCGAAAGCAGACCAGGGCGAATGAGAGCGGGAAAAATGGTTGTCTGAAAAGGAGGGTGGGCTATGGGATAACTAACCATTCCCGTCAAAACGTGTGGTTGATATGGAATACGAAATAGGAACAGGGAACGTCGGAACTTTGAACAAACCAGAAGCACAAGCAGCACTCTTTAGAGAATTAATAAGCTACAAACTAATGGTAACAAGAGTTCAAGTAACAAAGTAACTAGGAGGAGATACAAAAACTCACACAGTACTAAGGAAAATGAAACTAAAGTAAAGGAAAAGGGGAACAAAGAACATGGCGTGACTTTTATTGTTGATAATAAAATTAAGTCTAGCTTATAAATTACGAAGCCATACATGAAAGAATTTGCAAGCTACAATTATACGAGATCCTTTAAATTGACAGTAATCAACGTGTGTACTGTTCAACAGACCAAACAGAAACAGAAGTTAAAGAACATATCTATCAGCACTTAGAAAAGGTTTATGAACATTTCCAAACGAAGAAATGAGGGAAAGTTTTGAACAAGAAATCACACAGACTGGTGACACGAACACTAGGTCAATTAAAGAACAGTGGGATAACATTAAAAGAACAATAATAGAAACAACAACTACACATATGCTCTAAATATAACTGCGAAAAGAAAAACTACCTACTAACCAATTTAATCGCTTTTGCAACTAAGCCATAGAATACAGTAACAAAATGAATAGAAAGTGAATGACAAGCAGCTCTTGTCCTTCTTGTCATCCACTACAGAAGAATGGAATTTGAAGATAAGAAAAGCCGAAATTGGCGTCAAGCCCGAAAATCGTTAGCCGATGTTGCTGAAGTATGGATGTAAAGTCACGGAAAAAAGGACGTGTTGGTCGAATACCGAGAAATTTTGAGACGGCGCTAATACAGTCAGTACCATTACATAATCAACGTACTATTCATTCGTTGGCTTGTTATATCAAAGTACCAAAATCTACGGTCACTCAAATACAGTCAAGCCATTCCTCACAAACGCCAATAAAATTGAAAGACTGAAATATTGTCTGTCAATGCTTAAATCAGAAACTTTAAATGCAAAAGCTCCCGAATTCATCGATATGTATGATCGAGTTCATGTAGACGAGAAATGATTTTACCTCACAAAAAAAACTGAGACGTGTTACCTAGTTGAAGGTGAGAAAGAACCGCACAGGATCTGCAAGAGTAAGCGTTTTCTCACAAAAGTAATGTTCTTAGCCGCTGTATATTCTGAAAACAAGAACTTCGATGGATAACTTGGCATTTGGCCGTTTGTGTTTTTGGAACCTGCTAAACGGTGCAGTAAGAATTTAACAGCTGGGATCATTGAAACGAAAGTGGTTTCTAAAGTTACTAGAGAAGAGTATAAGAACATGATTATTAGAAAATTGTTGCCCGAAATTCATGCAAAATAGCCGAGATCCGGTCGTCGCCAAATAATTTGGATCCAGTAAGACAACGCTAACCACACATTCTTCCTGTTGACAATGAGTTTAATGAAGCTTCAAATAGAACTGGGTTCAAAATCGAAATGATATGTCAGCCACCCAATAGTCCCGATATAATCGTCTTAGATTTAGACTTGTTTAATGCAATTCAGTCATTGCAGCAACAATTGGCTTACAAAACTGTAGATGAATTAATTCTTGCTGTTGAAAAAACCTTTTCCGAATTGAGCACCAACAGTGTATGGTAGAAACAATGATAGTAGATGGAGGCAATAATTACAAAGTGCGGCATATGAATCAAGATCATTTACAGAGAATGGGTAGGCTTCCAGTTTCTATAAATTTTGATTTTGGGCTTTATCAACATGTAAAAGACATCACCGTCAAAAGTTTCTTAAAAACGATATTTGTAGTTAAATTTCAATAAATTACTTTGAATCGGACACTTATTTTTGGACAAAAACAATCGATATCGGACACTTATTTCTGGACGGAGGCAGTATTAGATTATTTTTGAAATAACATATTAGTAGACTTCAAGGAATCCTACGACTCCATTGATAGGGGGAAACTTAATACTGTGCGAAAACTAATAAGGCTACTAAATCGACTATGGAATATGCGAAAGTGACTGTACGGGTATATACACCTATGCGACGTTAGCCCCCAATTTTTCTAGCCCCCAATTAGATAGGATTTTACATGTATAGTATTTTGATTGTAACAAGAGAACCAGTCGACCGATTTCGATAAACAATGTCTCATTCGAAAGCTTAAATTAATTTTTTTATATTGGGGGCTAGACTTTCGGGCGTTCATACGTACATAAACAACGAGCCGAAAACGGTGTCATTCCGAGGGCTGTACAAGGTTAACGGGAGAGAATTGAAATCGGTTGACTGGTTCTCTTGTTATAATCAAAATACTATACATGTAAAATCCTATCTAATTGGGGGCTAGAAAAATTGGGGACTAACTTCGCATAGGTGGTACATACAGTCTTACTGAGGAATTTGAAATTACGCGTAGACTAAAGAAAGACAAAGAACTAGCCCCAATATTTTTTAATTTGGAACGATATCAACATTTTGATCGGAAGAACAGAAGACGCACAGCAACCCTACGCCGATCTTATAACATAAGCTAAATAAATAGGCCTTAAAGTCAATATGCAAAAAAAGAAAAACTTTACACAAGAAAGGACACGAAACATCTCACAAGATGATAATATTGAATCAGTGGAACAATTTACATATCTGGAAGTGGAGCAGAACAACGATGGCTCTATAAATGCTGATTAACAAGGCATACTGCGCACTTTCTCGCATATTTGAATCACAAATAACTCATCGAAATTCTAAGATGAGAATACATAAATTGATAATAAGGCGAATATACGACATACGGCAGTGAAACATGGATCCTTACAGCAAAACTCAAAAATAGTTGGTTATCTTCGAGAGAAAGATATTGAGAGGATTTCTGGCCCCAACAAAAGAAAACAACTTATGGCAAGTAAAGTACAACTACTAAACTTACGAAATGGAGAAAGAACTCCAACGTACAGAATTCTGCAAGATGTAAAGGTAAATTGCATGGAAAGACTAAGGGGAAACCGGGTAAAAGGTGGGAGGATAAGACAGTAAAGGACGCCCGAAATATCTTAAGAGTTCGAGTATGGTAGAGAAGTTTGGGCTGTAGAACCATTAAAGAAATATTTCGTATCAAAAAGTTAGAACGGGGAATTGGAGAGATCATAATTATGAAAAACTTGGAAAATATGATCAAAAGATCTATTCATTTATTGTTTGGTGTTGCTGATTTTTGCCGCTCTCATTAAGACCTAACAAACCACTTGAAATTGTCCTATTAAGGCTATAATATAATTCAGTATAATTTCTTATTCGGGTTTAATTTTAGTAAGTATGGTTATTATTAATAGTTAGAGCAATTTAAGTTATTCAATATATAAATGTTGTTTTTTACTCTCTTCACAACTACTTTTACCTTAATACAACTCTTTATTAATTATAACACGTGTAGAAAAACTTAATACAATATGTAATGTTTATAAATTCTTTAACAAAAATTTTTGACTTAAATTATTTACCTCAAAATAAAAAAAATCTTTCTCTCATTACAAAATTAAATTTAATTTGATATTCGATATAAAATCAAGATTTTGAAGTATATTTACTGAAACCTAACCGAAAATCAACATACAGAGAGAAAACCTGACCTTGTTCTTTTTGCAGAATAAACTAAACAATAAGAATCGATCGATTACTATAGTTTTAAATTAAAAAAGGACCCGTAAAGATTTTTAAAGATTTACTGTTCCTTACACAACATCTAAATTTGGAACGTATAAACATTTATTCCAGCTCAAACTTCCAACATGTAACACGTACACGACGAAAATACGAAAATACTTATAACAAAATTTTTATTACATACCAAACCTCCAATAACGGTGTAAATCATTAGGGCTAAAAGAAGCCCGATGTGTTGTAAAATTGGTTTCCATTCGACTTTGTAAAACCAACGTTTTACCTTTAAGGTCCACGTGTTTTTCGGGTCAAAATTTTTTTCCATTTCGTATTTTTTTTGAAAATCAGCAACGATCAATTGCTATGCGAACGCTGAAACCGAAGGCTAAACACTGAAAATAACTAAAATATCCTCCAATTGAATGAATTTTATTAAATCATATTATTGAGCATAAACATAATTATAAAAATTTAATGTATTGTTTATTTTAGTGATTTATTTAAAGTAAAATAATAAATTTAATTTCAAAAAGTTAAATTTAAATTTTAAATGAATCAATTCCACCAACCTAAGATATACAAAAAAAGATTAACCTATAAAAATGAAAATCACCAAACGAAACGTCAAAATTCTATTAGAAATATAAACATGGAAAAATCGCAATTAAAACATCAAACTAATTTTAAATGTGAACATTGCGATAGAACTTTCGATAAACCACGTAATTTAACTCGTCACCTTCCGATTCATAACGCAATTAAACCATTTAAGTGCGATAAATGTGGGTGTAGTTTTACCCAAAAGAAGAGTCTCCAGGGGCACATCGCAAAACATTCCGGTATAAAACCATTTCGTTGCACGGAATGTTTAGCTACATATAGGTATAAGTCAAGTTTGAACGATCACATGCGTATCCATTGCAAATTAAAACCCTTTTATTGCATAAAATGTAACTTGGTGTTTGAGACTCAAGAAAAAATTAATGAACATAATCGTTTAATTCACATTATTATTCGGAGATATAATTGTAATCAATGTGGAAAGATTTTTAATGAAAAAAGGTATTTAAATAGGCATTTATTGGTGCATTCAAACGTAAAAAGGTTTGAATGTCAGATTTGTTATAAAAAGTTTAATCGCAATAATTCTTTAAAACGGCATTTAGGGAAGCACAAAACGTAGTTGTGAATTTAATTTTAATATTTTTGTGATATTAGATTTATTATTTATTTAATAAATTCGTTTTTATGAAATATTTTTTTGTATTTCCCGCCTTGTCAACTTCATTTTAATCAATATTTATGGTGTGAATTTAGCTCAATACCGTATAACCTGTTTTTTTTTAAATTTTATTAAACAATAATGTTTAATGGATACGAATAAATAATTTAAAGAAAGACTAAGAATTGGTGATATATTTGTTTAAAATAATTTCAAATTAAATGTAGTTTGTTACAAATATCACTTCAATAAATAAATACAAACTGTCAAAATAATTCTAACCTAAAAATCGCTTCTGTAAAGTTTAAAGAAACATGAGTACAATTCACAATATTAAAACAGAAGTGGATATCCAACGTTTACCTGTTGATTCGGAAGAACATAAATTCAATGATTGGATGGTAAAATATAAAAAATCTCATATACTTCATTCTCAATGTTCAACCGCGGATCGTTGTTCCACCAGCTCGGAAAAATGTCAATTTTGCGTGTAAATACTCTAAATATAACATAATGTTTCTAATATATAATGTTTAACATTAATTTTTAGGTATACATCAACTTTAGAATTACCTCATTTACCAGAAATGGTTTTTCCAAATAACATTTTGTATCTGATACATTCTAGTGGGGCTGGGATTGAATTTAACGCCCTGGATGCTTTAAAACAAGTTTGTAATAAATCGTTACCAATTAAAGTGGCTTGTTCTGACGCTTGGAGAGGAACCAGGTCACCCTCACATTTAGAAGAAAAAGTTAAACCGTTCGATTGGACATTTTCAAGTGATTACCGAGGTACTGTTAGTGGCCCTTTCGATATTACTACTACAGATGAACGAATTAATATTGAAAAGTTAAAGGAAAGAGAAAAAATTTTGTTTTACCAAGATTTAATGTTGTATGAGGATGAATTACACGACAATGGAATTGCTTCATGTACAGTTAAAATTGTTGGTTTTTAAATTGTGTTGTGGGGTTATATGATGATTATTTTCTTTTAATTTTTAGAGAGTTATGCCAAGTTCTTTTTTTGTTCTTCTGCGTTATTTTCTTAGGGTTGATAATGTTATGGTGAGAGTGAATGATACACGATTATTTCACGAATTCAGTACTAATTATATTCTGAGGGAATATACTAATAGGGAGAGTGGTTTTCAAGAACTTGGACTTCCTTTGCCTGTATTTGCAGATCCTAATTTAATTTCACAGCATTTACCTTTACAAACATCGATTTATGAGAAACTTGTTTTACCTAATAATGAAAATGTTCAAGAATCAAGCAGCAAAGAACAGTAATAAGAGTTTTAATTTATATATATATATTGTCTTTCATTTATATATTTTAATCTAATAAAAAAGGGATTATATGAATGTTTTAATTTTAAACCAAAAAGTGGTGCCAACGTAATTTCTTTTTTGCTTCATAAATTACTATGGTTACTCATGTTGACAACTGTCAACTATTTAATAACAAAAAAATCCCTAATTGTCGAGAGTCAAGAGCATGTACAAGTAATAAGCCAGATTGCGAGAATCCCATACGAAAAAATTCCACATTTTACTCATTTACATATGCGAAAATTCGTCTGCATACTGCCCGGTAGTGATTATAAGAGGTGCTCGATATGGGTAAGGCGAAAAAGGGACGAAAAGGAGCTAAGGGTGACGAAAGGTAAACCTACTTTTTCGCCGACTAAAATAAATACGTCGGCATTTCATCATATAAATGTTAATTTTTTTCCTTTAGTGATTCCGATGTCGAGGTAGAAGCGACGGACATCATCGGAAAGGACCCCACGAAGAAGACGAAAGCTAATAAGTAAGTTTTACTTTTTTTTTTGAAAAAATGAGGTTAAGTTTAAACGTCAAAGTGTTAAATTTTTATCCATATTGTTAACTTATTTAGACAAAAACAAGGCAAAGAACAAGATGAAGGCAACGAAAATAAATCAAATAAAGGAAAAAAAGAAAAATCTCACGATTCTGATGATGAGGTACCTAAAGCTGACAAGTAAGTTTTAAAAAATGAGGTTATGTTTAAACCTCAAAGTATCAAATTTTTATCCATGTTGTAACTTTCTCAGGCAGAAACAAGATGAAGGCAACGAAAATAAATCAAATAAAGGAAAGAAAGAGAAATCTCACGATTCTGATGATGAAGTACCAAAAGTTGCTCAAAAATTTGCACTTTTAGAAGTAGAAAGTGGTCCAGAAGTGGAATCTGATCAAGCCGAAAGCGACAATGAAACGAAAAAAGTTACGAAAAAGCCTGAAAAAGGTAGAAAAGGCAAAAAAGATCGTAAAAAGAAAGCAGAAAGTGATGAAGACATTGATAAAGTTTTAGCTGAATTAGAAATGGAATATTCAGGTGGAAAAAAAGAAGAAAAACTTGAGGAAAAGCCAATAGTTGAAGAAAAAAAAGTTGAAAATGTCAAAAAACCGGAAAAACAAATTTCTGTAGAAGAAGAAAACAAAGAAGATGTTCAAGAAGGAACTGTTAAAACCGCAGCACAAAAGAAAAAAGAGAAAAAAGAACGCGAAAAACAGAAAAAATTAGCAATCAAAAAATCAGGGAATGAGAAAAAAGAATCAACACCACAACCCTCTGAAACAGAAAAACCTGAATTAACCGAATCCAAACCAGAAGAAAAAGGAGATGAAGATGCTGAAGATAAAACTGAAAAAGATGGCAAAAAAAAGAAAAAGAAAGGTAAAGAAACAGTAGCAGCAGCGAAAGAAGATGCGAAAAAAGGTCCAGGAAAGAAAACAATAGCGGCTATGCAAGAGGCATTAAAAAAATTACGCGAAGAAGAAGAAAGATTGAAAAAGGAGCAAGAAGAAAGGATACGAAGAGAAGAAGAAGCTGAACAAGCTCGCTTAGAACAACTAAGATTAGAACAAGAAAAGAAAGACAGGAAGAAAAAAAAAGAAAAGGAACGAAAAGAACGATTAAAAGCTGAAGGAAAATTATTAACAAACAAACAAAAAGCGGATCGCGCAAGAGCTCAAGCAATGATTGATAGTTTAAAAGCTCAAGGTGTTGAATTACCAGACGTCGGCGAACGAAAACCGCGACCAGGAACTAGAATAAGACCGAAAAAAATGGATAAAGATAAGGAACAAACCCCGGACGGTGAAGGCGAGACAAAAGATGAAGGGGAAAATCAAGAAATTAAAGAAGAACTCGAAACTGTTGGTTCTACCGAGAAAAAAGAAGGTGAAATAGAACCTGATACACCCGAAGATGATGTTAAAGATGCTTGGGATGCTGATAGCTCGGAAGATGAGGGATCAGAAGAAGTTTCAGAACAAAAACATGAGAAAAACGAATTCGAATCGAAACATGAAAAAGATGATGAAGAAAGTAGTAGTGAAGATGATGATGATGATGAAGAGGATGAAACGGATTCTGATTCTGATGATTCGGAGGTTGAAGATGAACATTTAACCGATGCTGAGAAACGTCGGGCAAAGGCTTTGGCGCGAATTGAAGTTGGTTTTTTTTTTAGTTGATGTAAAAATTGATTACATTTAATTTTATTTCATTTTAGGAAAGAAAATTAGAGGCGGAAAAGAATAAAACGATAGAAAATTTACGTGCGGCGATTGTTTGCGTTTTGGGACATGTAGATACTGGAAAAACGAAGATTTTAGATAAACTTAGACGTACGAATGTACAAGATGGAGAGGCTGGGGGAATTACGCAACAAATTGGTGCTACTAATGTACCTATTGAGAATATTAAGGAAAATATTCGATTTGTTAAAGGGGTAAGTAAAGAGAATCATTAAAGTTTTAAGAGTAATTTCATAATACTCTATTTATTAGGCAAATGTTTATTTAATGCTAATTTAATTATGCCTTAAAATTCGCTAAATTCATAGAGATTTAGTTGGTATTGCTTAATACATTGTTTTTATTAGTTTGTGAGTTTTATGACACTTTTGTATCAATAACAAGTTAAGCTCCTCTGGAGAGTATACTTTACATAGTTCTTCATTAATTTTTGAATATAAAATAAAAAGATTTTCTACTAAATACATATTTCAGAATATTTTAGGTAATAGCTTTTAACTTTTTTTTCTGAAATCGTGTGTTTTTCGTTTTGAAATCGTTTTTATTTCATATAGTTTTTCTGTTTGTCTCTCCCTATATATCTGGACCTCATAGCCAAACAGTATGAAGTGACATTTTTTAAATTTTACAGCAGAGCAATTTGAAAATTTTGAACCATGATGTTTTTCAAACCGATTGCTCTTGTAATAGGAGAGCTTGGGTTATTATTTTCCCAGTTATAATTTTAGAAGATACCTAAAACTGATAATAACAAACCTGTTATATTAATTTTTTGAAATAATTTTTTTTCTAGCAATGGACTTAATATCTTGTGACTTAATACTCTATTTTGTGATTTAACACTGTTTAGCTCCTAGTAATTTATAGATACATGGAACTTGATACTTAATTATTGTTAGAAACTCATGGTGGAGCAATACAAATTTGTAGAATTGCAATTTTGTAGAACAAAAACTAATTCATATCATTTATAACTAATTAATAAAGGGTACCAAAAGGCAAAAACCACTAAAAATATGAAATATTATTTAATAAGAGGTCACACCAAAATGTTGTAAACGAAAACTATCAATCTTAAAGTTCAAGTAACAAACAAATAATTAAAATAAAAATCATTACATTTTTCAGTCGTCTTACTTGAGGTTACCATGTGGAAGATTTTTAAAGTATTCATGGAATCTTTTAAGTACCCATGTTAGTAATTTTTGCAAATCATACTTATGAGTTCAAATAGGATTTAGTGTCTCTCTTATTGATTTCAGTAGCAATAAGTTAGAATTGGGAATAACTTCCTTAGAATTAACATTGCTTTTCTCTTTGCGTCTTAGTCTTTTAGTGGCTCTATTAAAATCAACTTGTTCAAAATTTTCTTGATTAAAATCTGCATTAAAATATAATACTCCAGAATCACTTTAGATATGACAAAGTTTTGATTATTTATAGTTTTTTTATTATTGTAAAAGTAAGATCCGTATTTTTCAGATAACAAAGTAAAATTCTTAAAGTCCATGGTTGTGTTAAATCCATGTGATTTTTTTAATTACCGTTCTACTCGGTCAAAACTGAAAAAACTGAACTTAGTACTGTTTGGCTCTGAGGCCCAGATATAGATATTATCAGGTTTGCTGTCCAAAATGCAAACTTTAACAACGCGAGTGCAAACTTGGTCAAATGTCCTTGTCCTTTGGCACTATAACCCAAGGTGGGTTTTGGCTTTTGATGTTAGCATCTTCCATCTGCCTCTGTCTCACGCCTCGCATCCTTTACCCCCATGTTCTTCAGGTCTTTCCATATATCATCTTTCCACCACTATCTAGGTCTTCCTCTGGTTGTCGCTATTCCAGCTGAGATCCTGCGACAAAAATCCTTTTTTGGACTCTTCTTCCTTCTATTCTCATCACGTCCCCCAACCATTCTATCCTTCGTGTCTTTTTGAGCTTGCTCTATTTGCAGCTTGTATTCTTTCCTTTATTGCATTCGTAATCGTGTTTGAGGAGTCAAATATAGCACGTAGGTACTTGAAGTTCTTGACACCCTGAGAGCTGTAGTCCTTGATGTATATATTTCGGGAATTTCTTACGTTCCCGTCTCTTGACAGTTTCATATATTTTATCTTTCTTGCGTTTATCATGAGTCCTATCTGTTTCGTGACTGCTTTTATCTTTCTGAACACTTCAATCATTTCCTCTCACATACGTCTCCTAATCAGTATATCGTCAGCGTATCCTCAGTGAGGATTTCTCACGCAATATGCGATTTGATTTGTAAAGAAATAAAACGAAGTCACGGGAATTATTGTAAATCAAAAGTAAAAAGCAAGGTCATCATAACAATATAGAAAGTTTACTTCAGCTGTTATTAGAGAAAACCTAAAACCGTCTCAAAGGAGTAGTAAAATTTCTCTACAAAAAAAATATAGTGCCAAAGAGAACAAATTTGTTGCCAAAACTAAGTGCTAAAACAAATTTTAAAAATGGTAGCTACAGACAAAGAGCAAAACTGACAATGGTAACCTCTGAAAATTAAAATAGATAAGAAAAATTATAAAAAATATCACTTAATGTGACAATGGCTGAATTTCTTGGTTTATAGTAGCTGTTTCAAGATCTGTGGAGGTCGCTATTTCTTAAGTACCAAGGCTCATACAATGTTCCTTAATACCTCGTTTTGGAACCTTTGTATAATATAGATATTATTTTCTAGTGCAACCCCATAATTGTAGGCCATAAGACCAAAATGGTTTAATGAATTGCTCATAAATCAGCAATAAATTATGAATATCAGCACATATTGTTAGGTCTCATCAGAGACCTGCAACGAATATCTCACATATAGTGAATCATATTCACTGATTCTTTGCTTGTGTGTTGTCTTCATTCGTCAATAGTTACTATCAATCATGTTGTGTGTTCTTTCTTAAGTTACTGTATTGTCAACTCCGAGACCTGCAACGAATGGCTCACATGTCGAATCATATTAATCGATTCGCTGTTACTGTGTTTCTTTCATTCGTCAATAGAACTGTGAATCCTGTAGTGCCGTACTCATTCAAAAGCAGCGAATGGTTTAAAACATTCGCGGAATAGACATTCAAAAATTCCGTATAACGTATTGAAATTTAAAATGTTGCTGAAAAAGTGCAATACTTGTACAAAGTTGTCTAAAAATTATCAAAAATGTTCCAAATGAATTTAGATTTATTTAAATGCTCAAAATTTGTCCAAAATCATTTCATGTTGACTATGTAATGTAAACTAATTAATTATTTAAAATCGCAAAAATTTGTTTTAACTACGTGAACACAGCTTTTATTATCTTTTACATTGTAAGATTTTTATGTTTTAAATCCAAAATGTTAACGTTTTTTTCGAGATAAAATTAGTAGTCATTTTCGATACAGTATCACATTAAAAGTAAGAAAGTAAGGATTATAAAGGAGTAACAAGAATTATTCAAGGGAATTTTGATATTTTAGACACATTTTGACAATTTCAGATATTTTTGTGCCTGTTTAGCCAAGTATAAATTAATTTAAATGCAATTTGATCATTTTAGGGAACTTTATAAAATTTTACAGTTTTGAACAAGTTTAACAATTTTAGATAAATTTTGCGCTTTTAAATAATTTTGAACAAAATTTTCTGTTAAATTTTGATAATTTTAGATATAAACAATTTATACAATTTTTCAAAAGTTTAATATAATTTAAACCACATTTTGATCATTTCAGACGGTTTTGAACAAGTTTAGACAAATTTAAACAATTTTAGATAAATTTTGCGCTTTTAAATAATTTTAAACCCATTTAGAATATTTTGTAAAATTTTGATGACAATTTTGTATAAGTTTAGCCAAATTTAAATAACTTTGGATAAATTTAAATTCTGTCTTAAATTCAACTTAACGTTACTTTATTTTTATGGTCGGTAAAAGTAAGAACGATTGTATACAAAAGCACTACAGTGTACGTGAGGCAATGAATCATTTTAAATGATTCGCGAATACTTTTAAGAGTTCGCTGCTTTTCGTTAGACTTGAGAGGCGTCTACTGCTTGATGTTGCAGAACAACACTGCTACAACACATATTGAGCGAATCATGTGTTACATTGCACTGCGCTTTTGATGTTTTAGTGGTAATTCATCATTCGTTTTTCTGTGAATGTTTTATTAGGCCGAACGAAACCATTCATGCAGCTCTCTGTTACCCATGAGCTAATACAGTGTTCTATATTTTAGTTTTAATTGTGTATTATCCTGTTACATGTGCTTTTTCCATCGTAATTTAATATCTAAGGTCATGCCTTAATATTTGGCAGTATACGAAATGACATTGTTTGTAATTTTCACCAACTGGTTTTCTACTTTTTTGTTTGTAAGATCACGTGCGTCGATTTGTTTTCGTTTAATTTTATTATCCAGGTTTTAGTCTAAGAGTTAACTTGATTTAACGCGACTTGAAGTTTATTGATAGAATCATCTGCAACGGTAGCAGTTGCCGTTTCAGATGATTGGAGTAGATCTCTCACGAACAACAGGTATAGAATTGGACCTAAGATACTCCTTGAAGAACACCAGCGTTAATTTCCTACATTTTACAATCACTCAACAAATCAGAGTAGTGTATTGCGTTATAACTTTTGGTTTGGTTTCTAGCCCATGGTGCGAGAACTTTGCAAATGCTTTTTCATCATTAAGAAAAACTGTCGCACCGATTTTGTTTTCTTCTAATACTTTTTCACTAGACTGCCTAAGTCTGACGTCACAGAGATGGGCGGAGCTTATACTGACTGCAAACAATTTCGTTGCTAACGATAAATCCCCAAAAAATGTCATTTGAAATGTCATCACTCATCACATATTTTATTTTAACACTAATGAAAAATTGCATAATATGGTGATTTACCGTTAGCAACATAGTTAGCAACGAAAATATTTGGAGTCGGTATAAGCTCCGTCCATCTCTATGACATCAAGGCTTAGGTATGCCTGTTTTTAAAGCCGGTGGGATAATATAGCTCTTTTTACTTCTTCTAGTATTGACGTTAAACGTTTCAGAAGCAGTTTTTCAAAAGCCTTAGATATGCTCGAGAGTAATAAGAGTGATCNATGAGGATTTATTTAAGAAATAAAGCAAATGCGAAAAAAGAGATGAACCTTAAAAAATATTATTTTCACTTTTTTTTATCTAACTAAATGATCTATACGAGGTTCATCTTCTGTTCTACTTATACAATGTAGATAAAATTAAAATCATACCAAAAATTGAAGTTTAAATAAAATATGTACATTTAAAATTAGAAAAGTATAAACTAATATTTTTTATTGATCTTAAATATAATGTAATAATTTTAATTACATAAATATTATTTTTAGGCACCAGAGATGCAATTAAAACTCCCAGGACTATTAATAATAGACACACCCGGTCACGAATCATTTTCAAACTTAAGAAACAGAGGTTCCTCTTTGTGTGACATAGCTATTTTAGTCGTAGACATAATGCACGGTTTAGAACCTCAAACGATTGAGTCGATTAATCTCCTAAAATCAAAGAAAACCCCATTCGTTGTCGCATTAAACAAAATCGATCGACTTTACGACTGGCAAACTTTAAATCGCAAAGATGTACGCGATATTATCAAAGCTCAAGCAGCCAATACTCAACTAGAATTCGAAGAACGTACTAAACAAGTGACTTTACAATTCGCTGAACAAGGTTTAAATGCTTCATTATTTTACGATAATCCGGATATAAGAAGTTATGTATCCTTGGTACCTACGAGTGCAGTTACTGGGGAAGGAATGGGAAATTTATTGGCTTTAATTGTAGAGTATTCCCAGAATATGTTGGCGAAACGATTAATGTATTCAGATGAATTACAAGCGACCGTTTTGGAAGTTAAAGCAATTCCTGGATTAGGAACAACGATTGATGTTATTTTAGTGAATGGTACACTTAGGGAAGGTGATTCAATGGTTCTAGCGGGAACCGATGGACCGATTGTTACCCAAATTCGATCTTTGTTAATGCCACAACCTATGAAAGAATTAAGAGTGAAGGTAAAAAAAGATTACAATTCAATTTATTGTTTTTTAACTAACATTTTTTTTAGAATGCTTATATAGAATATAAAAGTGTAAAAGCGGCTCAAGGTGTGAAAATAGCCGCTAAAGAGCTTGAAAAAGCGATAGCTGGTTTAAATTTGTATGTGGCTCATAAAAGCGACGAAGTGGATATCGTTAAAGAAGAAGTTGCGAGGGAACTTAAGTCCGCGCTCTCTAGTATTAAATTGCAAGAAAGAGGCGTTTATGTTCAGGCATCGACTTTGGGGTCATTGGAAGCTTTATTGGAGTTTTTAAGAACAAGCAAAATTCCGGTGAGTATAAAATTTTTGATTATATAATTTTCATGTTTTTAAGGATCTTTATAAAATGACTTAAAGAAATCAGTTTGAAAACTAATTCTTAGAAACGAATTTATAGATCTTATCACGAATTTGAAATTTATTTAAACATTTAATAAATGTAATGGATATTTAGGTACATCTTATAGCGTTTTCGTCTGATAGGTGTTTGGAGCGCGTATTTGAGAGCCAATAACAGCTAAACATTAAGCCAAATTCAGTGCAATAATGACATAGTTAGTTTGTTATGCTCTAAGATACTATAGGAGGGCATCCATTGCAATCTATATCTATCCAATTGCGTCTTTTATTTTCATATCCATGATAACGTCAAAAGGTGTGATGTTTTATGAAGTTTGGTTAATTCATTAATCTTATTTATTTTTAAAAAGGTATATTTAAAAATGTAAATGTTTATAATTTACGTAATCCTTCCCACAAATATCACACTTATACAATAAGCTCATGGCCATTTAAAGTTGAAATATCAAATCGTATATTTTACAAACGTACAAGATTATTTTTTTAATTATACTTTTTAATCAAATTACTTCTTTGATATGCCGAAATCTTCTCTTTTGAATACATGTACCTTACTGCGACGTGTGTATTGCTGTAAGTCATGTAGTTTCTCTGTTAACGCGTTGTTTCCACGCAAGTCTCTATTTCGGATATGAAATGATCTTTCACAATATTGACCAGTTGGGACAAAAAAGATTCATCCTGTATAAGTATGCTGATGAAATTCTTGAAAGCTTCTTCAATTCTCTCAAATTATCCTTGGTAAAGCGCAAAACAAAAGGGAAATAGATGTTACCCTAACTATCATCAATTCAGCTTCGAACTAACATTATTTCAACTTCACCACATACTCGCAAGCCGATATTCCAACGCCCACCGTCATATTCTTTATTCATCTTGTTTATTATTATTGTTATCTTGTAAATCTCAATTTAGCTGTTATTGTCTATTACAGTGTTTCTCAACCTTTGTGATTAAAAATTCGTTTCATTCATCGCTTTCTGTACATTTTAAATGATAATTAGATGTGTAGTTACCAGTTTTAAAGTTGCCAGTTTTCGATGCATTTCTTTTTGAGTTGACTGTACTTAAAGATTAGGTTTAAAAGTTAGTGTGAAAACAAATAATTTTAAACCAATAAAAATAAGTAGTTTTATCCTACTTCTACCTTAAAGATATAAAAAAAGATATCTATATTAAATTTAATGTTTTAATGAAAACCTGTAGGTTGATGATCTTTACATAACTTAGTAATACCACGTTCTAATTTATTGAAGTAAAGCCCTAAGGGGTTCGACCACTCTAGTCTGATTAGAAAATTAAGACTAATTTTTCGAGTTTTTCTGGGAAAACAATAAAAAATATGAAAAAATGGATTATATTTCTTAACTGTATGTACTTATAGGTTATAGGAATACGAAATATATTTTTCTAATTGATTAAAAAGAAAATGTAGCTGCTTGATGAAAACGCTGAAAATCAGGAAGGGGTTCGCGGCTGGAAATGTTTCAGCTACAATTTTCAAACTATAACAAAAAAAAAATTTAGTTTTTACAACCCAAAAGCTTTAGAAAATCGTCCGGATTTTTTTATTTAACTTTATGCAAAAATCTTGGATATATTACAATAACTTGCTGTATTAGTTTAAAAAAATAAGCACTAAATTGTTTATAGCTAAAGAACTACGCATCATATCATAAAATCCTTACGTCTTTCTCTAGATAATGTTACTTAGAAGGTACAGTTAAAATTTCAAGTAAATCGGTAAAGAATTATGTGAAAGAATTGTGAACCTTACCGTTTTGGTATACCTTTAAACCCTATGCCAGCGCCGTACATTGGTCTTCTAGGTTCACGTTTTCTTCTTCTTTTCTCAAAGATATTGCGGACGCTCTGGTGGTTTTTCTCTACCTACTCTAAAAATGTAGGAAGTCACCATTTAACTTGGTTTAGCATCAACATTTGAAATCTCAATAATATAGCTAATTGGGTTTTGTACGCGTTTTGTAATTGCGCGAGTGTATGTACGCGTAATGTCTGGAAACATGAAGAAATCTTTTAACGGCTTGATCAATTTGAACAAAAAATTGTGTGTGTAACCTATACACACTATAACCTTGCGAATTCAAATGTTCTATCGGCGTTTTTGTGGTTTGTAAATGTAATTGCTTAGAAATTACGATTTACAATGTTTATACTCTCAACAAATGAGAGTACCATGAAAGAACAATAAAAATGAAGTGGAAACAAACTACATGTTATCTATCTATGTATTTATCATCGTCATAAAAAAAATCTTAGCATAAATTGAACGGAAGTGGTTACGTTTAGTAGTTTAGAAGGGTAGGTTGAAAGAACAGATAGGGTCATAACGTACCCTATTATGAGTTAAACATATTCCCCAAATTTCATTTTCCTAGCGTTTATGGTTTTAAATTAAAAAAAATTATGGTTTAAAAATTAAACCAAAATTTTCCGCTATTTTTGGAGAGATGTAGCTCCTTAGGGGAGCCGAAGGCGTCCATGGTGCATATATTAAAGTACCCTTAAAATTCATTAAAGAATCACCCCTTGAAGTTTGTTGCAGTCTAAAAGGGATGAAATTCTTCATATTTCTCAAAAATTAAATAATAAAAATAGGAAAAAAAAAGTTAAAATTAACTTCTAGAAGTTAATTCCCAAGAAATTTAAAGGATTTTATTTATTTTGATTTTAAAAATTTTTTAGAAATATTTTGTATTTTAAGAAAGAAAGCCAAAACTCATTCCTATTTCCAACATATTTTAAATTTTTCCATCAATTTGTAATTATTTCAAGTACTGAAGATGAAACATTTGTTTCGAAACATGTTTACTTTTTGAAATAAATTAAAAGTATTTTTAATATTCTTGTAATCCAACGATTGGGAAATACAGTGTTTAGAAAGTCACAGACACAAAGATTTATATCATCTGGAAAGCGTCTGGCTAATTCCGGAATTAATTGTGATTGCAAAAATGCCCATTAGTGTTCCCCTGTTAGAATATCACTGAAAAAATAAGACCCAATAATTTGATCATTGGAAATTCCTGCCTATGCATTAACGTTTTGAGGATACACTGTCTCGATCGTCCCGTGAGGATTTTTTTCCGACCAATGTCTGCAGTTATGCCTGTTGACTATACGATTTAAAGAGAAAGTTGCCTCGTCAGAAAAAAATGTTAGCATGTCAACAGCTTTCTGTAATACAGCGTGTCCCGTATCTTCCGCATTATAGCATCGCTGTATATCTACCAACACGTACGCCATCTACTTACGTTTTATAATGTTTTTTAGAAACTATAAATTTGGCAACATTTCCGATTAAAAATTTGAATTCGCAAGGTTATGTAACCTATACAGACAAATTTTTGTTCAAATTGATCAAGCCGTTAAAAAGATTTCTTCATACATTACGATAACTCCAAAACGCAATTAGCTACATTATTAAGATTTGAAATGTTGCTGCTAAACCAAATTAAATGGTGACTACTTACTTTTGTAGAGTAGGTAGAGAAAACTCGCTAGAGTGTCCGCAATATCTTTGAGAAAAGAAGAACACGTGAACCGTGGATTCTTCATGTTTCCATACAATACAGGACAGTATTTTTTCTTCTGCTTTTATCGCTACTACCCCATTCTGATCCTTTCTCAATCTTCCTTCTAGATCTGCCAGATTCCTACCTCATTTCTTAGATTGCCAAAAATCCTCATTCTCTCTTACATTTCAATTGAATGTATTTTTTCATCAAATGATATCTTTATGTATGGTATATGTGTTCATATACATATATTGTTTATATGAACCCGAATGTCTATCCGGTAAAATATTAACTGGAAACGGAATCATTCCCTTGTCGAATCCTATTCAAAATTATATGAATTTGTTTCTAACATCCGTTTCCAACAGGTTTCGTTCTGTAACCATTCTCCCCTGCTATTTTCCAACACTTCAATTAAAAGTTGTTTCCAATTTGTCATAAATATTATACAACTCATGTATAATATGATTTTTTAAGTCTTCTCGATTCTTTCTCTTTTATGTTTTTTGTATTTCTGTACCTCACTTTCATTTTTTATCGTACGGATTTCCCCCTCTTCCCTTTTCTTTCTGCTCCTTGTCTTTGTTATACACATATCCTTACATCTCGTCCTAGCTTCTTTCTTTTAGGTTATTTCATCTTTATCTCACCCTCTTCGCCTCATAAAGAAGGAAAGATCCACCACTCGGATCTTTTCAAGTCTTGGTTATTTCTGAACTTACATTCTCTCTTCACCATTGTTTTATTACACTTTCTCATTCTTTTCCATTCTCTCATTTCTGTTTCCAACATTTGATGATTAATTTTGAAATTTATTTATCCATTCGTTTTGTAATTTTACGCTATTTTATCATCTCATATATTTCCTGGTTGTATAATGTATAACCGAATCCCTACTAGCAACTTGTATTTCTCATTCCGAAATCCATTCAATAACCGTCTACACACTTTATTCTGTATTTTATCGTAAGGCTTGAAATGCACGAATTCAAGTTGAAAAACGAATGGCGGAGCCACGAGTTTTTTAATGAATGAGTACTTTAAGTCTTATAAAACTTGTTTATTATGCTATTTTTTGTAATTCGCGTTTTATCCTGTTTTTTAACAAAAATAAAATAAATTTTGACAATGTAGGGAAATAGGTATGTAGCAGATGGTAACACCGTAACACAGAAATTTGAATTGACAATTAGAAATTGACAAAACACAAAATGTGTTGACCTGAAAAAAATGTTTCATGTACACCTCCCAAAATACTAGAAATTGCTCAGAGTTCAATGTCCGCATCATTGTGGACCTTGTATTCGATGTTAAGAAGGTGTTTAAACATCCACAGACAAAAATTGTCACATTCACAACTAGAAAAATTAATAACCCAATCTCACCAACTTG